ATTTCTCATGGACACCTCCAGCCATCACCATCACCTGTATGAACATAATGAAGTATTGATTAGGCTAAACTAAAAGTAATACTGCACTGGACTATGAGGAGAGGAACGCTTAGAAACCAGATAAACAGGCTTCTAATCAGATTTTCCATGGTTACAGTACTGTATATCCTCAATACATTACTTATATATTACTTATTGTTTATATATTGAACCTATATATATTGCCATATTGTAATATGGCTTAGCATATATATATATATATATATATATATATATATATATATATATATATATATATAAACAGGCTACTCATCATTTGTTCGTAATGTATTCGTTTTTAATTCATGCATTCACTATTAATGTAAATCATATCTCTACAAATGAATTATAATTCATATTTATTTAAATATAAGTGACTTACATTATATAACGAATATATAACATCTGTCCAGCGGTCATTAGTGTGCGGTAAATAACTCCTCCCCACTGATCTGCTGTAAAATAGCCTTCCAGAGGGAAAGAAATCCCGAGCAGTTCGGATCTCTCAGATCAGCGCGCGCTCTTCCACCACCCCAAAGCGCCAATCTCCTGACCTTCATCTAATTCCTCCTCGCCTTGAACTGGGCATAATCGCGTTTAGCCTGTTTACTGTTCTCCGCGCACAGTGCAGGAACAATCTCACAGCACGGTTACAGTTTGATCATCTGAACGGAATAACTCAGACACGCGCAGGACGCGTATTAAATATGAATCAGACAGAAAGCGAATCTGATTTGTTTCAGTCTGACTGAGGGGCTTTTATTTTTGCTGGGATGTAGTTTATAAATTAGACCAGCCGAATCAGATCGGCTGTTTAAAGCAGCTCACACCAGGAAAAAAACAGACTGTACAGAAAAACACAAACACAGGCGACATAAATGTGTAATAGAATTAATAGACGATTAATATGCGTGGTAAAATATATGTTTTTTAAAAGATAATATTTGTTATTATTGGGTCAATAATAATAATAATAATAATAATAATAATATGAAGAACAACAACAACAACCCAACAGCAATAATATGTATTATAAATGTATAAATATAACAGTCAGTATTATTATTACTATTATGATTATCATTACTATTATTAGAAGCAGTGGTACTAGTTTTCGTATTATTATTACTGGTATTATTATTATTACTATTCTTCTTATTATTATTATTATCATCATCATCATCACCGTTATTATTATTATCTGTAGTAGTAGTAGTAGTAATATTGTTATTATTACTATTATTATTAGTAGTAGTAGTAGTAGTAGTGTTATTATATTTGGCATTATCATTTTTAGTTATTATTATTAGCAGTAGTAGCAGTGTTATTGTTAATGCTATTATTATTAATGTAATTAATAACTACTACTACAGATAATAATAATGTTATTGTTATTATTATTACTACTATTATTAGTAGTAGTAGTAGTGTTATTATAATTGACTAACATTTTTTAGTCATTATTATTATTAGCAGTAGTAGCAGTGTTATTGTTAATGCTATTATTATTAATATTATTATAACTGTAGTGGTAGTGTTATTAATGTTATTGTTATTATTATTACTATATTATTATCATTAGTAGTAGTAGTAGTTTATAGTAGTGCAAGTATTATTATTATTATTAAAGTACAAACTATTAGATAATATCTTTATTGATTTGTTATGATCTCGGTCTGCTCCAGTCGAACTGGAACTGCTGTGCAATAATCCAAGTCCCACATTCAATTCAGGGCAGAAATAAAACTATTAATTATGCCAGGAATCTGATTGCGGTGGAAAGAATGATGAGTTTTTAATGCAGGATTAGAGCAGCAGGACTGCGGCTCGCAGCGCTGGGGATGTGCGCTCTATTTCACTTTATTAGGAAGGCGGCTTTGGAGAAGTTTACTCCCTCGAGGATTTCCCTCCAGATAATGTCAGCTCGAATCACAGCTGCAGTTCCACCTCCAGCCCTCACTGCAAACCTGCCTCGCAGAGCTGATCAATAAGAGCCTAATTTTACTATCTAAAAGGAGAAACTCTCGCAGACGGTCACTGTGTGTAACAGCGTAATAACGCAGCCCAGTTATTTTCCGTTCAGCGCTCTTTGATAGGAAAACGACGGAAAACCGATTTTTGCATTTATACTGTGTTTCGCACGAGCAGCTGTGGTCGCAGCGATTTCACCCCCCGCTTTAGCTCCACGCGGCCTTCACTGAGCGGAGGAGGCTGCAGCCCCGCGTGTCCGTTATAACCACTAGAGCAGATTTCTTATGAAGCCTGAACGACGCCTTTGACCGACGACTATCTGAGATGCAGAACAAACGACACGGCTGCGTTTTTAAGCACGAAGGCCAAAATAAGCAGATCATGATTGTGTTCTAATAGATAATAAGAGGGAATGAAATCGCTTAGCAGCCTGTTTATAATTTAACCCCAGATCCACTCCGGGAAAAAAGGTGTTTTGAATTGATATAATTAAACGTGTCGAGTTGTAGCGTGTGAATAAATGTTAAGACTACATCGACACGATTCTCACCAAAAAGCAGTAAACTGAGAGACATCAGCTGTATATTTTATACACGTGCAATAAACTCACACATTTAAATCAGATACATTAAAAGCAATTTTTTCAGCGCATGTTAAAATGAGAGATACTCAATAATGAAGGAAAACAATCAGACGATGATGTGTCCTTTATTTATGTATGTATTTATTTATTTTTTGTCAGAAAAGATTTGTAATTGTAGACCGTTGTTAAAATGGTTATTTTTTTTATTTATTTTTCACTATAATTGCGTTACCCTGCAATTATTTTGCGTGTCCTTGCAAATACAGTGGATTTTGCGAGAGAATACAAAATAATTGCAATGGAACGCAAAATGTTTGCGAGAGAATGCAACGTTTTGCGAGAGGACGCAACTTCGTTGCAAATATTTTTAATTTCGCAACGGCACTTTAGTGTCTCCGTTGTAATGAAGTTGGAAAGGTGCTACTAACAAAGCCCCCGTTTGGTCAGCGACCCTTGAAAACCTCACATCTATTCCATTCGAGGCCGGTTTATTTGCACAGCGACAGACAAATCAGCTTCACAGACGCTGATTATTCCAATTACATTCATCTATGAAGATCAATTTCTCCAAGTCCTTCTCCAAGACATCAGCGCTCAGGGCTGAGGCTTGTCTACGCGTGACTGCATCTTCAACATCACGACCACACGGCTCACTCACTGCTTTCAGCGAATGGGGAAATACGAGCCCACCTGAAGGAGCAGATACTCTCTCAACTCTGTCAGAGCGCGAAATAAAGAAGGTTAATGAAAAATAAGGTAGAATTAAACCGACCATTTATTTCCCAAAGCATGCAGAGAACCAATGAGCGCTAAACTGATTAAACATGGTGATGCTAACGATCACAGGCTGCGTCCCAAACCGCAAACTACTGCACTACACATACTATCCTAATGACTGGGCTTCCAATGGTGGTGTGTAGTTTTGATGTATGGTAGTTTGCTGTTTTGGACGCAGCCACAGTTTTATAAGAACAAGACCCTGTTTTCCTGTTATAATGTGTTTGGCTCTGTTTATAATCTGCACTACACTATTACAGCCAGAGCCACACAGCAACCAGTTAGATTTACTCAGTAAAATAGTGACTGATTTACATCATAAATATGAGTATTTTTGAGATGATAATAGTTTTTCTATTTGTTATATTTATTATATTTTGTGAGCAAAGGCATCTACTACTCATTCAGGCACAATTTAGTCTTTAATTTTTGTGTGTGTGTTTATTTCATCGTGCTACCTTGGTGACACTTTGCGACTGGTCACACCACTGACTTTCACATTTTAGCCTTCAATCTGAGCCCGTCTAGTCAGTGGTGTGACTCACAGCGCTACAGTGTCACCAACCCAGCATAATAAATTAGACCTAAAGGATCCAAAAATAGGCGAGTGGAGCCTAACAAAACTCTGCTGGTGCTGGATGAATTAAGAGGTTCTATGCAGTTCTATTAGTCCTTCTTTTACCTGGTGCATTCTTAGCATTGAGGGCTCTATATAGTACCGAAAAAGGTTCTTTGAAGTGGAACAAGCAGCAGGTTTTCCACCATGGAGAAGCATTCAGCCATGCAGAGCACTCAGATGGTTCTTTGGGTTGTAACTGTTTTAAATAAAACCACTGCCTTTACTAAAGGACCATTAAAGAACCATTTTAAGGGTTTTTGCTCGTTTCTTTTGGAAAGGTACTTTTACTTGTATTTCCCTGGAGTAATAGTAGATTTATTTGAGTGTGAGTTTAGGCTATTTTGTCCATTTCTGATTACGGGAAAACCACAAGAATCACACCAATGACACGTTTTATTGATAAATACCGCATTATCCACAACAATCACCACAGGAAATTAGTTACCCAAGAACCCACTAATGCAAAATTGTAAATATATTGCAATCAATGGTATTTATATTTTAGAATATATTGATAAAATATAACCATTTTGTTTATATATATATATATATATATATATATATATATATATATATATATCGATGAAACGGGAGTGTAATGTTGAGTAACCGATCAAGCCTGTTTTGACATCTCCAGTGTCGTCACTGTTAAAAAGGTGAAGGTTTAACGTCAAAGCAGCAGAATGATGGCTCCTTTGGGAACAGACTCAAAGGGGGGGGGGGCGCAGACAAAGACAAAAAGACTGTCAACAAGTGAGACAGGAGGATTTTATCTCACGAGAAAGTGACCATATTTGAACAAGACAAAGAAATAAGTTTTAAAAACAACAGCCAGTGCTAGTCTGTATCACAAGTCCGGAGCGAATCTGTCCCCTCTGCGCTGCCCCCCCCCCATTCGCAGCCAGTTATATATTCATATCCTAATTGCATTAATGTCATGTGTTAAGTCTCCCCCACATATTCCCCAACAAAACCGTTTTTTTCCTCTCTCTCACAAGCAAAAGGTCTGACCTCACCCATTCATTTCATCTCCATAATAACCGAGGAGAGGGCCGGACAGGCTCGCGCGCATACGGAGGAGCTCTGGGTTGCATCTTCGCGAGAAAGACTCACTTTTTTCAGCTCCTCTAAACCTTAAGGGGGCCTTTTTTCCCTTTTTAAAAAAAAAACCTTTCACTCCTTTCTGGAAAACATCTGAATCGTTTTCTCGAAGCTAACCCAGCTGGGAGCGCGTGCTTGCGTGCGTGCGCGCGCGCGGATGCGTGTGAGCGAGTGAGAGAGAGTGTGCGCTCCTATGAGGAAGAAGGAGAGAGGCTGAGAGAGAGACAGAGACAGAGAGTATCTGCTTCCTTTACGGCTCCGAAAAGGAAAAGGAGAAAGGACAGAGAGAGAGAGAGAGCGAGAGAGAGAGAGAGAGAGAGGTGGGGAGAGAGTGAGAGAGAGAGCGAGAGAGAGAGAGAGAGAGGGAGAGAGAGGGAGGAAAAAAAGTTTTGGACGCGGTTTTCTGTTTCTTCCACGTACAGTTTTTTTTAGGAATGAACGCTGAGACGTGTGTCTCATACTGCGACATGAGCTCCATGGAGCCGTACTACGGGCCGCAGGCTCCCCGCGAGCAGCACGCAAACCCGTTCAGGACGTTCCCGGCGGCCGAGGCCAAGTACAGCCCCGCGTTCCCGGGCGCCAAAGCGCAGGCCCGCAGCCCCTTCCAGCAGCAGCAGCAGCAAGAGTGCCAGCCCAGCGTGGACGGGGAAGGCACCTTTAACAAATACCACCTCTTCATGCAGAGGGCCGCGTGCAAAACACCCCCAGAGGGCGGCAAGGGGCACCAGGAGAGCGGACACAACGGAGGAGGAGGACTGCTCTCCTGTTACGGTGAGTGCGTGATGCGCACGCTGTGTTTTTTCGGGGGGAAAGAGGAGAGTGTGTTTTCTCTCGGGTGAGTTTATGAAGAAGAGTGTGTGTGCTCGAGCTTTGTTTTAGAAGCGATGTGTGTGTGGGTGCGCGTGCATGAGTTTTTAATTAGAGAGTGTCTTCTTCGTGTTGAGGAGGTGTGTGTGCGTGTATTCGTAGTTGGAAAGTGTGTTTCTGCGCGAGTTCGTAAGTTGTGTATGTGTGTGTGAGCTTTAAATTACAATTAAAGCGCGAGCAAGGAGTTTGGAAGCTGTGTGTGTGTGTGTGTGTGTGTGTGTGTGTTCGTTGTTGCTAGAGTTTGGAAGGTTTTATTTTCCTCACGTGAGATTCGAAGCAGAGAAAAAAAAGCGTGTTCTTCCATGAGTCTGGAAACTAGTGTGTGTGTGTGTGTGTGTGTGTGTTCTCGCAACGTTTTGAGACGTGTGGCAGTTTTTGGGACACACTATATCACCAGCTACTCTCCAACGCGTATGTAGATGTAAATATATTATTATAACATATCTATAACATACATGTGTGCGTGTGCGTGTACTCCCGTTTTAATTCACGCTGCCCTCCACGCAGCAGGCCGGAGGCTGACGCTTTTAGGTGAGTGGATGAGGAGGAGAGCAGAAACACAGCCCTAATTATTGCTCCTCTAATATTGATAATCTCATCACCGCGATTGTGGCTCCGCTAATATTCAGTGAGCGAACGCGCTGCGCGGAGTCAGTAACGCGATGACGCTCCGCTCTCACTGCAGCACCGAATTCAATTAGATTTAATGCGATAATCTGCATTACAATCCTTCACGTTGCAGCTGAATCGGACAATTGAATTAACAGGTTTTCAGGTGTTTGATTTTTATCTACTTTAGAATTGCGTTCTAACAAAATAGGAGCGATGGATAAACAGCCTGTGGAGGGGCAGTTCGGTCTAACGAAGCCCCAGAATGAAGCCAAACAGCAGCAACGGCTCCAGTGAGGGTTAGCAGTGTTTAATACTGGAGCGGATTCTGCTTCGGGCCCGCCGTTCACTGTAGAGGAAAACAGCGGAGCGGCGGGTTGAATAAGAGAAAGGAAGGAAGAAAGAAAGCTGGAGTACAGATTTAACGGCCTCTAAGGGGAACAGAGCCCACTAGAACGCGTGTATGACCTAAACCTAAAAACACACACTAAAGAGGATTCCCAGCTCTGAGGGCCGCGAGCTTCTCCAGGCAAATGAGACACGTTTTACGAGCTTTTAACTACACAGCAGCTGAGATACAGCGCGCTTTAACCACACAACAGAGTGTTTAATATCACAGGAAACTGACATCTCCGAGATAATAATAATAATAATAATAATAATAACCACACAAATAGCAAATTTCCCAAATTAGCCCAGATCCACGGCTCTGTGCAGCCACTTGTGGAACAGGTTAGTAAGCTTGCTGACTGCCAAAAAAGGTGCTGTGCTGATCTATTTTTCGAGGTATAAATAATGTGAATGCGTCCTCAAATGGACAACAGCGGTTTCATTTTTTTCCCCCAGAAAAAAGGTACATATTTGTACCTTTTCATTAATGTTTCAACACAGAACAATAAAATAAAAGTCCTGGAGGCGAGACGGGGTGTGTGGAGTCAGTACATCTTAGAAAATATCGTTTCAGTGGATTATGGTAGTTATGATCCTTAACTAAAAGTACTGAAGATGAACCCTTGAGGGTACGACCCCCAATGACCAGAGGGATAAAACATCAGTAAGACCACTTGAGTTTTAATAGCAAAAAAAATGGCTAATTTTGTCCTCTCTGAAATAAAACACTGATGTTCTTCATCACCGATTAATGGAAACTGAAAAAAAGCCCAACCTGAATTAACATCAACTCAATCGTCGTTCTAACAGCTATAAACCAGCTTAGAACTCTGTTATTAACAAGAAGCTAAAATAATAATAATAATAAAAATAATAACAATAATAATAAACTATAAATGTTTTTCCGTTTTAGAGCATTAGGAACACGCTGAACCCACTCTCCCCAGTAAAGGCCCACTGTGGCCGCTTCACGCGTGTTGGATAAGAACACGCTGACACGCATTTTCCTCATGATAATTAGCGAGTGTGGCGTGTCAAACCATCGATGTAGTTCATGATGGACGCGTCTGTGATGGATTAGAAGGAAGAAGGCAGATAATCAGCACACACGATCTGTCATATCTACCACAGCGTACACAGCGCTGCTGATTCAGCTATAACTCTGCAGAGGATGATCATGACTCATCACGAGCGGTCTGCAATAACACTCATATGTCCAGCACTGTGGAGACGGGGGAACATAAATAAAGCCCCTCAGCGCTGCTGCTCTTCACTGCGTTAAAGCGCAGGTCTGCATGGGAAAGTGTGAGGCATATGCGCGCCTTATCTGACAGCAGCAGCAATCAAAGCTACGACCGCGAGGCTCCTGCCAAACTCTGGACCGCTTCAGAGGGGGCTTTTAAAGCTCGCCCTGCACGTGTGAAGCAGCACTTTTGAGGAGGGTTTGATCCATCTGGACCCGGAATAACGCGCTCCATGTGCACCAGGGCTTTAAGCGCTGGGATTACCGGGCCGTAGAACAGAACCGCGCGTCCTATAGGAGCCCTCAGCCGCCTGCAGGTGATCGGCGCGGTGAGTGCCTTTCAACCCCATCAGTCTGCAGAGAAATGGCCTAACAGAGAGACACGTGTGTTCAGACGAGCAGGGACTGGACGGACCGGACAGTCGCGCACGGTAAAGAAACAAGCATTTACTGACTGATCAGCGCGCGGGATCCGAATACAATTACAGAATAAAAGCCTCGCAGACCGCTTTATCGCCTGTCTGCTAACAGAACCGACTGTCATGAGAAAAAAGGCGGACTTCTTCCACTAAAGTAAAAGTCCACTAAACTAGGCCAGACAGTAAATCTGAGCTGTCAGAGCTGACTCTGATAAACGACCGCGGATTGAGAGCTCAGCAGTGAAGTTACGCGCCTATGATGACTGAAGCCTCTACGACCTGGCTTGAGTTTATTATAATTAGTAAAACGACAGGATATTATTATTATTATTATTATTATTATTATTATTAACAGCAACACTACTACTACTACTACTACTACTACTACTAATAATAATAATAATGATAATTTATACTAATACACTATAAATATAATCAAAACGTTTGTTTATAAAATAACAACTAAACATTGCATTTAAAAAAAAGTCTACTATAACACTGCTGTACTACTGTAGTAGCTGTTTTATTGTAATGGTTTTTAAATAAAGGAAATTAAGGTTGTAATAAAGGTGATAAATATATATCACTCATTTGAATGCATAAATAGCTCTTTGCATGGTTAAATGCTATTCTGTGACGGAGACCTGTTGAAATGGTTCTATAAGCACCAAAAAAGGGTTCATCATACAGTTTTACAAGTATTGTTACAAGTCATAGAACCTATAAGCCCTACTATTTCTACTATCACTAATAATAATAATAATAATAATAATAATAATAATAATAATAAATAAATAATTACATAAAACACAATTATGTAAATATCATTTACTTATTTTTTATATTTTAATATTTATTCTTATTACATTTTTATTTAATTTTATTTTAACAAGGGAATTCACGAAAATGGCTCGCTTCGCAGTGAAGGTCGCGCAGCTCAGTAACGCGCAGCACGATAAAGTAATCAGTCTTTGCGCAGCGAAACACTGAGTGTAAAAGCGTGACGTAACGCGGCCAGAGACACTCAGATTTAAGGCCGGTCTGCTGCGCAGATGTCATTAAAGTAAAGCTCCGCTCCGTTTAACTAATACCAAGCGCTTTGATGGGGACGATGAACATCAGGCCTTCGATAAAACAGTAAACGAGGAAACAAAACGCGGAAAAATGTAATTAAAAATGACTAAAACGGAGAAGAGAGTCAATGAGAGTAGAAGGCGGTTAGAGAAAAAAGCAGTAATGATCAGATTTGAGCCCTGATGTATTAAATCCTACTGAGCACCTCTAGAATCTGAACTATAATGTAATCAGCGAGTTTCTACGAGAGGCCAGTTAATTAAATATGAATTAGATTCCTTTAAACATTGTTCACCTTCTTGGAAAAGAAGTCAATAAGTCTTATATTCTTAAATATAGGCTATGTAGGTATATTACACAGCACAGCACAGCACAGCACAGGCAGAATAAAGCAAATGAGAACTCTGTTCAGGCTGAATAGTTCAGCTGGCCTTTCCATTCATGAGTGTGGGGAATGCTATAAACCTGCAAAATATGTATGAACTAAGGGAGCATTTAAAATAAAACAAGCTGGTAGCCAACATGTTTTTGTTATCCTGTTTACTAAATGAGGCAATATCCTGTTCTCTAAATTAGGCAGCCAAACAAAATGGATAAATCACTGCAAAAGGCATACCTTCAGCATTATAGCCTGCGAAAAAGCTAAACAGGCCAGAATGAGGAGAGTAGCTGCAACAGGCACTCAGGTTAAGGGGATAATTTGGAGGGGGATATATATATAAATATATATATATATATATATATATATATGAATGCATCACTGTAATTGATCTGGAGAGCTTGGTGTGCTGCAACTGACAAATTGAAAACACGTTTCCAGCCACTTACTCCGAACCCGTGAAGGAGCGTGAGAGTAAAACCGCTCTCCCTTTTTTTATTCTGATGACCCCTCTTGCAGTGGACGTGCGCAAACGTCCTGTACAGATCTTTCTGTGCACCCTGCACCAGCTGAAAGGACAGGGACAGATGCTAGGCATCCTAATGTGGCATCAACCTGCTGTTTATTTGAAATGGAGAGCATATAAACAAGCAAGCAAACAATAAACAAACAAAAAAAGAGGAACCCAAGAAGAAAAACAAGAAAAAACATGCACAAAAGGTCGGACCGTTCTGCTGAAAAATGTTGAGAGAAAAAAAAAAAATAGTTGCTAATTTTGTGTAATGTAATT